TCCATCCAGTTCCTGCAGTTGTCCTCTGCCTTTAATGACAAGCTTAGCAAACACTTCGTTAATGGGCCACACAGTCTTAGGTGGTGTGTGGGGAAGAAAGAGCCACTCCAGAATTAGCAGCGGGTCTTTCTCAGTTTGATCCCACTGAAACAAGACTGCAAATGGCTGGTACCTGCTGGGAACTAAGAGTAGGCAGATTGCAGTTCAGGATTTCTCCTCTTGCCCTGCCTATTGTCTATTGCCTTGGCACAAATGTCTAACACCTACTTTGCCTCTGCTGTCAGAGACTTGTTAGACATTAGGCTGGAGTCCCCCTTTAGCAGCACAGAGGATGTAGGTCCTCTGTGGTTATGCTTAAAATAGGCCTTAACCAATTTATGGCCCCCAGGAGTTTTTGCAACTCATGTAAATTTAAAGTGTCCTTTACCTCGAGCTGCAGTGGCTGTGTGGAAATTTCTTGCTGTGTGATCCTCCATCCAGGATAAGTCCAGGGTTGTGATGGTTGGATTCTCTCTGAAACAACCTGAAGTCCTGCATCTTGGACAGTTTTGGTTAGAGCAGTAATAACAAATGGCAGTTCATTTCTTGTGGCCGTGGTTATTAATGTGTCATCTACATGATGGTGTATGATAATTGTCTGATTTCTCGTCGGGTTGTTTTGCATCCTCCGAGGAAGGACAGCCCAGCAATAGTTTTGCATGGGCTGTACATTGTTCAAGGCCATGATGGAAAATGTAAACCTTGGTGCATTCTCAGGGTGCAGAAGGATGGTAAAGAAATAGTTCTTTATATCAATTATCATTAGAGGCCAATTTGCTGGAAGCCTTATAGGTAGGGGCAGTCCAAGTTGCAAGGCTTCCGCATGCTTTATGACTGCATTTTCTGCTCTTAACATTTGCAGTGTTTTCCACTTCTCACTTTTCTTGGGGGTGCAGAATACAGGGATATTTTTGGGGTTGGTTGTTGGCACATTGTGGCTTGCCTTAAGCTGCTTCCACTCTTGCTCGGGAAAGTGGGTGGCAGAGAGGATGATGGCAAGCAGCACGACAGCAAGCAGTACAATGCTTATGGCATAGCTTTTGCCTTGCTTATGGCACCCTTGGTATAACTCAGCCCATTCCCTGCTGCTTAGGTAGTTGTGGGATGTTGCTGCTAAGGGTCTCCAAGGACAATCTCTCTGAGGGTGGTTACCGTTCCCACATGTAACGCAACTAGCTCTGTGTCTGGCCTCATCTTTTACTCCTAACTGGGCTTTTGGGGTTATAGTAAAAGGGTTAGATTGGTGTTTCACAGAGTTAACTCTTTGGTAGGGTTGAACTAACTCAGCAATGCTGTAGCCTTCCCTTTCAAGAGGGGTTTGCAAAGCTTCTCTACAGCTTAAGCTTGCTTTTTCAAAAGCCAATTACTTATACATCATCTCTCTGGCTTTATTGTATTCTACTTGTTTGTTTAAAACAGATTTCAGCCAATCTAAACATCTTGTATTTGGTTTATTATAATTTTGTAAGGTTTTTGTGGAGGGCAGGTTGCTATTTTGGTCTGTAGTGTGAAGGTTTATCATAGCTTTTAGGGCTTGTTTAGCTATTACATCGTATATCTCTCTATGGTATTTATATTGTGTATCTATTGAACTATAATTTGCATCCCCGGTTAACTGATGTGCTGTTACACCTGCCTGTGGGTCACTGGCATAAGCAGAGCAATTCTCCCTAAAATCGGCCAGCCACACGTTGTCTTCCAATTGTGTGGCATATTTATCAACCGATCCTTCCCCGTTTGCTACTTTGCTCCCTTCCGGCAGAACCATCCCTGGTCCCTTCTTCCCATCCCTCATTCCTCCCCCCCATGGCCCCAGTGAACCCGGTTCCCTGTGGGGGGGTGGTGGTGGGCGGTGGAGGCAGCGTGGGGGTGGGGTTACCTCCCCCATTGTGCCTATGGGTGGGATGGGGCAGCATTGGGGCCAGAAGAGATGGGTCAGTTTCTGGTCCACGTGGCAGGCAAGATGGTGGCACCCATGCCTGGGCACGTGGCTGGCGGTCATCTGCGGTGCGGGATGGCAGATATGCTGGGTTACCCCCCCCATCGCTATAAAGGGGTCCTCTGCGGTGGTCCCCTGGGCTGGGATCTCACATCACAGGCCCCGTCCCTTCCCACCGACTCGCGTCCCTTTGGCTCCCGGTTCCCAACTCAATACTTAAATCACGAATGACCCTCTCCCCACCTGACCCTCTCCCCACTGGACTTTGTGTGTTTAAGCTCCTATGCCTAAAAATCGGGCTGTTGCCAGCAGTGTGAGCGGGGTGTGTGTGTGTTGGTGTTGAATGTGTGTGTTGTCCGTTCGTGTGCTCTGCTTAGTGCAGACATTATGGTTTGCCAGGCTGGAAAAGCATTGTTAGCTTGGGGGTCTCCCCCCTGAGCTTTGAGTTTTATAAGGTTTCCTATTCTGTCCCATATTTCTATGTGAAGGGCTTCAACCAATGCCAGTTCGGGTACAGCTACCTTAGTAAAGCGTACCAATTCTGATAGTTCGGCCCTTGTAGCTTGTATGTGATATGGTTTTAGCAGGAAAGCCAGTGCATCTGGGTCCTGTGATATCTCAGTGGAGAGAAAATTTCCCATTTTATCTTTGAATCTCGGTGCTGTAGACGTGCGCTGCTGGAGAGTCTTTGTCTATTTGCTGGCTTGTCCCAGTTCTCAGTCAACTCGGTCCGCATGGGTGGCGGAGGCGCTGTCTGTTGGCGACGGCGGTCGGGCTGCGAGAGACGCTGGCGGCGAGCAGCGGCGGCAGGCGGGCAGCGGGCGTGGGTGGCGGCTTGCGGCGGCGGCTTCAAGCGGCATCTGCCGGTGCCACAGAGACAGTGGCGACGGCAGCGTGGCAGCAGGCGTGGGCGGCTCGGCGCGGCTCGGGCGCATGGCGGCTTTCGGCGCGGGCTCCCTCTGTGCGGTGTGGGGCTCGGGGGCTCTCCGGTGGCGGTGGGAAGCGGTGAGAAGCGGCTCTGGGGCTCCCGCAGTTCTCTGGGCGGTGTGGGGGTTCCGGCGCTGCGGCGGGAAGTCGCGGCGCTGCACGTGCGGCGGCCGGAAGTCCTTGCCGCGTGCGATATGGCGCTGCTTCTCAGCATGACTCACTGCTCCGGCGTATGTCGGAGTCCGCTCGTCCCTCTCCAGCCGCCTCGATCTGCCGGTTTTTTCTTTTCTTCCTTCTTCTTCTCATTCCTGTGCACTTTTCCTAATATTTTTGGAGCTCACTAAACTAGGATTGCGTTTCTCAGATGCTCTGAGACAACGACTTAGAGACGTCTGCATTTTCTTCGGTGAAAATTCCCGTCTTGATAAAATTGAGATGATGCCAATCAGTAGCCCAAGATCTAGCAACAAAAAGAATTAGCAAAAGGATATCTTACTACTCTCCTTGGGACAACAGAAAGTTGCCCTGGAACGATCGCCGGCAACCTCCGTCTCCTAAGGTTGGCAAGGCCTTACCAGGCCTCACTCCACAACACGGCAGACTCAACAGCAGGGAACCTGCACCTCCAAGCCGCCGGAAGGAAAGAGAGCAAAGGCCTTTCCTCCTTTCTTCTTATAGTCTGGCTTACGTAAAAATCGTAGGGAATACTGGGTAAATCTGGGCACTTCCTTGGCTACAAACTGGTCACCAAGGAAGGCCTAGACCAAACTACCATAGTGTCCTTGAGGGAAGCCTGGAAGCCCTGCAGACTGATTAGTGTTTGTAGACTCCCAGGTCTGGAATTTGCTGAGCTCTGCAGGTTTTTTTTCCCCTCCTGCCTTGCACTGTATGAAGTCTTTTATTTGATAGCAAAGCCTGGGTGAAGCATTGCTGGGCTGCTGTCCCAGTAAATTATTTCCCAAGGTTCAGGGCATGGGAGAATCAGGCTCATGCTTTATAATTGTTTCTCACTAATTGCTTGTCTAACACACTGTTGTTTTCAGTTCTCAATTTGTCTCTCCCTTTTATAGTGTCTAATTTGCCATTTTTCTTCCTATTCACCAACATGTGATCACAGACGTGCTGTTACCTTGCTGCAAAACAAAATGTTACCTTAAAACAAGAGCTGTCTGAGGTGACTCTCACATATCTTTATCTGTAAAGCACATCACAGACTAAGTGGTTCTGCTACCAGTGCCTGCTATGTTATTAATGCTGCTCTAATTAGGCCAATCAGTTTTAATTAGTATACTGTCATGTAACATTCTCATAAAATACTTTGTGTAAGAAAATTGATCTGGCTTTAATGCTAATTAGTTTGCTAGACTCCCTGCCTTATAAATGGGAATTGATTGTTTCCCTTCAACCTCTTCTTCTTTTCTATTCAGTAATTCTGCTATAAATTCTGTTTCTCTTGGTTTTTCTCACATGGTTTTTTTTTTGGGTGTCCCTGTGTCTCCCTCAATTAATTCTGACCATAACCCATCTCTAGTGAAATCTGAAAAGAACAGGGCTTTATCACTTGACAGAGAGAGCCTTCCTCAGTTAATTTTTTTTCCTCTCAGGAATTTGCCAGATTAGAGACCTGTGATCCTAAGGACTGTCTCATAGCTAAAGCTGACAGGGTTAGGCCCAGGTCAGCCCACTCATAAATCACAGCCAGTAAGGACCTAATGCTGTGCCTGGAATTGAAGATTTATAAAGACAGTAGCATTAACATTACAAAAAAAGTATTTTATTGGGTTTCACATGGGATTTGTTTACTGCTAGTAAACTGCAGAAGAGTGTAACAATGAGGTTAATAAATGGGAAAGCGAGCAACAGATAAATCAGCTACTCCTGGTTGCTCTTAAAAGCTCCTTAAAATTGGGATTAATTTCGCTAATTGTGAACACAGCAATAATGTGTAAAAAGTCTGAAAATTCCAGCTCTGTAAATTTACAGTGTTGTTCTGGTTCAGTTATGCTGTCTGGTTTTTAATAGAAAGTTAATTAATAGGCAGAGGCAGAGCTGACTGCTAAAAGTTTGCTCTCTTTTGTTCTTCCTTTCTGTAATAAGGGACAAGTTACTGTATTTAAAGGGTGACTAAGATGGGGACTGCCTGTTTACAAGGAGCCACAGGGAAAACATGAGGAGTACATGTACTAGTTACTACTGGTGAGATTCCAATTATCAAAGGAAAATTTTTCACAATGAAAACAAACACCAATTGGAATAATCTCCCAGCTCTTTTCCACTGTTGGACACTTTTAAGATTCAGCTGGACAGGGGGCTCGGCCTTCTTTTTCAGACTAGGAAAGAATGGACCAGGTGATCCTTAGGTCTCCTTCTAGCCTGGTATTCTATGAATATAATTTTTTTGGGATATTTAAAAGATAAAAACCAAAACCAAACCACAGACAAACAAACAAGAAAAACTAACCAAAAAAAATCAAAGCCCTGAAGGATTAAATTAAAATTTTATCTTTTTCATTTGCCTTGATGTTTTTTTGACACATCAGACTCACGTCTTTTCCTGGACAGTTCAATATTTGTTTCTGCTGTTGCAGTACAGATGATGGGAATAAAGCAGGAGAAGAATCTCTCTTATTGAGCTATCAGTCATTGTCCATTTTTGCTTTTAGTGACATTAGTCATGTTCAAAGGTGAAGTTTTTCTCCTACTTCTTAATAAAATAAAAATTAAAAGGCTGCTATAATTTGATGAATGCATCTATGTCAAAGAAATACTCAGAGACATTATGTATGATGTCAAATTACATTTTGGTGCAATTTATTAATTTAGGGAATAGATACTTCCTTAGTATTCAGCTAATTCTTGTTTTATTAGCAGTATTTTTTTTTCTTTTTAACCTGTGGCTACCTGCTAAGAAATGTTACCGATGTTTTAAGCTCTTAGAAATAATGTCAAATATCAGTGTATGTGTGAATTTGTGTTTCCTAACTTGGGTTCCTGAAATGTTTTCATCTATTTAAAAAGAAGGAATTCTTAATTTACTTTTAGTAGCGATACTTCTAAACTGTGTGCTACCTGGCAGCTGAAAATAGAGGAGCCATTTGAACTTGGGTAAAATAGATTATTATAATTTTTAGTAACAGACTGGCCCATGAGAGTATGTCTTTACTAATTGCTACCTGATAAGCATCATGTTTCTGTTCATGTTCTAACAAAATTGCTGAAGGAGCAATTAGGATTATACTTGTTAGTGTACGGTGTGTCCAAAACAGTTTTTTACTAAGATGACTTGGTTACATCAAAGTCTTGATTTCCCTCTCATCAGGACACATCTTAATTTCCTACAAGGTCCGAGGAGTGGTTGTCAATTCCCAGCATACTCCTCCTCTGGATGTTAAAATCCCCAAGGGAGATGTTAAAAATATCAGTTTTATATCAGTCTGCAAATTAAGCAGTGACACTAAGGATGAGAGATATAATGTCTCCAGTTGTAAAACAGAAGTGCCACACTGAGAATCTCCTTATTCTTTTCAGTTTATGACTTAAGTTTCCCACACCTGGTTTGTCCCTCAGGAAAAGTTGAAATTCTCTAACCAAATCTCTAAATACTGACAAATTTGCCAAAACAAACACATATATGAAACTTCTAAGCAATTATCTTCAGCTTCTAATGTTAAACTTATCCGTATTTTGACATAGATGAAGTCTTGGCCCCTTAGTAAGCTGTATTTCTAAACCTTTGAATATAGGTTATATTAAGGACATCTCTTTGCTTCTTGTAGATCTTATGAGATATGACTAAAACAGGTCAGGTTTTTCCAAGTGTTGCTAAACTTAACTCTTCTATGTCTATGAAAAACACAGTATTAAACTTGGGCACTGCTGTGAGGTAACTGTCAGGAAATTTTGATTTTCACCACAGGATATCATTAAAAATATTTTCCCTGCTGTGCCACATGAGGTTTAATTAAATATTTGTTCAAACAACCTGAGTTTCTCCAAAGGAAAGGATGTGATGTGAGTATATTAATATAATTTGGATACGTGAACCCCTTAAATTTTCCAGTTATCAGAAGTAAAAAAAGAATCGGCCTTTTGAGGCATTTTTTGTCTGGTTTGGAGCTCTGTGTCATGGACCCATCTCTCATCACCAGGGAATAAGATTGTTCTCTTAATGGCCTTTCTCTTCTCTTAATCCAGAAGGATTTTCACTGTGTGATCCTGTAGTGTCACTAACAAATTTTTTCCCCACATACACCACATACCCATGAGATTCACAGTGTAGGGTAAAAGTCATGGATTCATGTCACCTCTCACTCAAAAAGAGTAAAATAAGAAAGTACTGGCCAGCCTATAGATGCATTCAAATATATATGTTTAAAATATAAATATATGCCCACACATAATTTTAAAATAAAAATAAATCAGGAGGCTTCAGGAATTGTTTTGTTTTGGTTTTGTAATAGAAAAATACTGTGCTGCTATTCTGAATTTTAAGGTGCTCAGAGCTGATGAGATTTGTGGTTGGTGGTTCAATGTTTTAATTTGCTTTAGTGTGTGATTTTTCACAAGTATTTTATTTGAAAATGTGTCTTATAGCAAAACAAGTTAATTTCTCCCTTGCAATAATGTACACATTTGGTTGTTGGTGTTTTTTTTTTCCCTCTAAAACCTCTTATTCACAAAGACCCTTTTAAAACAAGGAATGAACTCATGATGAAGTGAAATGGAGATTTTATTGATCCTAAGGCATGTTTGCTTAGAACAAGGCAGAAGAATAAGAAGAGAAAAAGAAAAAAGACACTTGGGCAAATGTTCAACAATGCTGATGATGCAACAAAAATGTGACTGACTCTTTGAATATAGATTTAGATTGTGGAGGATATTAAATTCTGTTAGCTTGAAAATAACCTGAGTGTCAAGTGCCTAAGGCTCCCTTTAGCTGTCTCCTTATCAGTGTTTTATATATAGTGTTTTCTGTGTATATTCCCCAAAATCTAACTAATCTGTCTAATGTACGTAGCAAAAATTACACTGTCAGCTGGCAAAAAATGTTGTGTCTCCTGAGTGTAATGTCCTTAAGGGGTCACATTTAGAGTTATGATATAGTTGTGAACTATGATTTTTCAAAGCGTGAAAGATCTTGTACAGAATCTTAACAGCTGAGTGCAAATTAATTTTATTCATTTGTGATGTCTGGCTGGGTGACTGCTGATGTCATAATTCTACCATTCAATCAAGTATTTATAAGTTTTTAGATCAAACAGGGAATGGAGAAGAACAATCACACAACTGGGAATTCAGATTGGTCCTTGGATACGTTAATGCTGGGGGGGAAAGGGCAGAGGCTCTTCCATGCCTAGAGCTAACGCACTGCCCAGAGGCTGAATCCATCAGCAGCCTGTGCCAGGGCGCTGCATGTGCCCAAGAAAGGCATGAGAACGTCAATTTTATAAAAGAAAGAAAGAGGAGGCAAAAGAGAATTGGTTTAAAACCAGCATCTGGAGAAATGGGAATAAGGTGACTGCTTCATTCTGGAGAAAATTGGGTTATAGTCTCTCCAACTGCAGGAGGGAGCTGAGTCACTCAAAATGGAGGAGAGCAGCTTACAGCAGAAAGGGGCAAGTGGGATTGAATTGATGCTTTGGAAAGTGCAAAACATTTGTGTTGTTACTGCAGCAGGGAGGCCAGGGAGCAAGCACATTACTCTGTTGCTGATTTTATTTCATCTTTTTTTTTTTCAATAAGGAAGGATTTGCTGTTAGGAGCAGTATCAGTAGTTGCTTTAGCTGACACATAAAATGTCTTTTTTTTTTTCCAGTGTTGATACATGATGAGCTGGGCTAGAGGTAATTCTGATAAAGGCCTTGAGAAAAGGAAATGGGAAACTTTGGAGGCACTTTGAGTCCATATCTTGCTGGGAACTGACCTCCAGGCTTTGGGGAGATTGTACTGTACAGATGGCATTTTCCATCTGAAACCATCTATTGTGGAGGCAAGGATCTGGAGACATGCTCTGTAGCTTCCAGCTCATGCCTGAAATCAGTTAATCTCTCTTCTTGGTTTCCCAGAGCATGAAGAATTTATATTTAGTAAGTTTAGACAGACACTGATTTAATGAGGGAGAATCTTAGGTTGTGACTCTATGCTACAGAATTTTTTTTCTCATGGTTTTAGTATATTTTGTTTCCTTCTGGTCTCTAGGAAGTAACATGGCCGAGGTCAATCAAATTAGATTCTTGTTGGCTGTCTTATTCAATATATTAAAAAAATATCTTTGATCAAAACAAAAAAATCCTGCCTAAAGAGTTGTTTTTCAGCCTGGGTTTTTTAATTAACCTCATATTAAAACAGGTTGTAGCAGTGAAAGTCAGGAGGTGATAAAGTGCTGAACAGGGACAGGAATAAGTAGCCAGGACACATTAATCTTAATTAAAGCTAATTAATGCTTTAAAGTAGTCTTTTTACAATAGCTCCTCTGTATGAAACATCAGTCTCAAAGGTCACATTTTTGAACAGCTGAAAAAGTTCCAGTGTAACAATGGGGGTTAGTTTAGGTAATTGCATTGCTTCATAAAAACAGAAAACTCTCTTTTGAAGAGGTAATTCAGATATTCTTGAATGACAACTGGCATTAAAGAGCTTTTTTTCACTCCATCATGGGATCCATTGAACTGAGGTTGTATGATAGTGATGCAGTGGCATGATGTGTGGCAAATGGGTCACTGGAAGTTTCTGTAACTTAGACCATGAACTGACTGAAGAAGATTTTACTCTCAAATCCTTCATGTCCGGGACCCTCCATGAACACTGAGCTCACTCAGTTGTAGAGCTTAGTGAACCTCAGACCAACAGCATTCTCTGAGCATGTTCAAAATTCTCTCCAGGTCTCTAGTCAGACTGAGAAAGTGAGCAGAGTGGCATTTTTTTCTCCATGCTTGCCTAATTTACTCTCATCCAGCATGCCCTTTTTTTATTCATATCCCTTTCATTGTTACATTCCGGGTTTATTAAGTTCAGTTTTTATTTAATCAGGTGCACTAACCCTTGCAGGTTTTTCTTTTTGCATCAAGGTAGTCTCACATTGAAATCAGCTTTCATTGAATCTGACATTTGTTGAATGTTAGAACTAAAAATTACTGAGATCCTGGTATAATTATTTAATTATTTTAGCTAAAAATTCATGTGTCACTTTTGTCATTGTATTTAGGGCATGGATGTATAACCAATAGTTAACTGGATTCTTGTATATTTGTATTTTACAGTAAGGAAAAAACTCAAAATTTTCATATATATTGTACAGTTCTTCCCCAATACAGATACATTTAAATGTTTGTTACGGGCCTGCTGACTGCCATTAGTCCCAAAAATGATAAATGCCCAGAGGTACTGGCAATAAAATGCCAAAGTATAAAGGAAATTATTCTTACGAAAACATGTTTGGGAGAGTAGAATAAACTGTGTCCTCGTGTTTATAATTGGAAAAAGAGGCTGCATGTATTATTACTTTAAAATACGATCTTTGTTTTAATATTTGCCAGAAGATCTGTGGGTTTGCTGCCTACTGAGATAGAACATTAAAAACAAGTCTGTTATCAATGAGTGAAGTTATTTCTTAATATACATTTTCCACAGGCCAGTGTTGGTATGTGAGAGGTACACGTGAGAGGTGCGGTACAAAACCATACACAGCTATGTATAAAGAGAGGAAAAGTGAGAGCACCTAGACTAAAACATGTATGATGAGGCTCACATTCCTTTCAGCTGCACTGGAATGTGAATTAGGCCTTTTGACGTGGCCTCACAGCTTTTCTGATGTCTAAAATAGCACCACTTTAGTGCTTCACATGTGGCCATCATTAGACATGAAAGAATTCTGTGAACTTCACTGGTGTCATCTCCCCACCCTCTTTATTCCTTTGACATGCTGAAATACAAGTATGTACACCTTAATTTTTTTCATATGTTCCTTTCTAGGCCATCTTGCCAAAGGGAGTCTCAAAGCCTGGGAAGGGTTCCACTGCAGATGGTCAGTGTATAAGGCCAGGGAGAATTGTTCCTTAGCTAGGGAGAAGGCTTCAGATTTTACAATGAGATTGGGATCCATGAACATCCAAGTGTAGCTCACACTCCTCCCTAGCTCCAGGACTGTGGCAGCGGGAAATGAGATGCGCCCTTTGGTTGCAGAACTGCTGTGAATATGGATTTTCTCAACATATCAGATAAAACTGATAGCTTCTTGCGTCAACTTTCTTATGTTTGAGCAAAAAAGCCTAAAAATCCTGTTGTTTGGCACTGCTGGGTAAGGTTTATCGCTTTCCCTAATACGAGGGAGATCCCCTATTATTAAAGTGTTTGCTTTACTTTATATATACTCTATTTCCCGCCGCCATCTTTAGATTTATGAGGCATTGTAAGCTTTTCTGACTGCTTCTGAAAAGGATTCCTGGCCGCTGTTGCTCACAGCATCCAACAAATCACTCATTTCACAATGTCCCCTTTCTTTCATTAGATGATACTCTTCATTTTTTGTACATCACTCACACTTCACTACAGTAATTTGAAGGATTTTGCATTCCAGTCTCAAGCAAGAGAAAAATATTTTATTTGTTGTTGTTTTGAGATGTGGATTCAATCAGTTCTGGTCCTCTTTTCTTTGTCACCACAGCATGAAAAATAGTGAAACGCACTGTGATTACCTGAATGTTCATGGGGAAAAATGCATTTTATTTTTGTAGAAGATGTTTGGCATTCAGCAATTTTTTTTTCATATTCTTCGCAGTTTAGCCAAATGACATCTATTTTGTTTCAAGGTGAAGGTTTTCCTTTGATGTAAGCTTTGATTGTGAGGCACTGGTGTTTCAGCAATGCCAAATAATAGTGGAAAATAGGTGCATTTAAAATATTACTTACGTAGAGACAATCTGCTCAAAAAAAAAAAAAGCATTTTTTCTTGAGAAAAACAGAGCAGATATTTTATCTGTGCATTGGACTCCTCTCTGTCTAGAACTGGGAAGACCACAGCCTTTTCTGTGTCAACCTTGTGTGGGAGGTGGGATACCCCCAGAGAGATACAGGTCTTGTAATACTCTAAAATATTTAATATTCCTCCTGATCTCTAAGTTAGAAACCAGATAATATTAGCTTGCATTTTTGTTTGAAGCAGTCACGTAATTTTTCTCTTCAGTCTCTTGGGTGTGACTGGATTTCTCAGCTTGGTGTATCCTTTCTCTAGGACAAATTACATCTGTAGTGGTGGGTGAAAGTCCAGTCTAACTGAGTTTCTGATCCCCACCAATGGCCTGAGGAGTGGATGCAAGAAATTGGTCATGACTTACCCCTGACGACTCCATGTCACGGGGTAGTTGTCGTAGTTGTTAGGTTTGGCTGATATAGAAAAGCACACACATACACATACACATACTGCACAAGAAGTTGAGACAAGTGCTGTCTGCAGCCTCCGCGCAGCAGCATCCTTTGTTAGGAAAGCTAGCCCACATTTTTTTCACACACTTTTTTGTAAATAATATCGTTTCTACAAAATACTATTATCATGCACCTGCACCATGAACATAGCCAACATTTTTGTCCTTGCACATCTCTGTCCTCCCTAAACCTACTTATCAACTTACCAATTAACTCCCCGCTTCTCAAGGCTGTACTGCTTGTGGGAATGGTTAATTAGCTCCTCTGCTTCTCATGGGAACGATCTTATGCCATCCAGTATACTTATATTGTACTCTTCTAGGAGTTCAGCTTCTAGGGACTCAACGGGCCTGCTGCTTCCCCCCACAACTCCATTTCCCCCAGACAACAAAAATGATTGGTACATCCCTGTTTTCTTCCAAGAACCCATGGTAAAAGGCAAATCAGGTGGTCATTGTGCATCTGTGATCTTATGTTGCAAACACTCCCTTAAGACACTGCATTTTTGACTTCTAGCTGCATCCTTCATGATTGTTAGTTTGGGAGTGTAAGTGCCAGGAGCTTGGCACAGCAAAACATGAGAGATCATGTATCTCAGCCCTCAACAGCACTACATTACTTTCTGTTATACACTCCTCAGGCATGGGGATTTTCTTTTTAACAAGAGTTCCTTGAGGGGGTCTGCACCATTTCTACTGACAGAATTCTCTGCATCTTGCTGTTACAAATTTCCCAGTGCTAATCTTGTGGGGTTTTTTCCTTTGCTTTTATTTCATTTAATTGATCTTGATTAATTACAGTCTTTTCCTTTTTCAGTGCTCTACTGGTGAACAGCTGTCGTATAACCCAACAGGTTTACTTTATTTTCGGTTTTCTTCTAAATTGTCTTTTCAAGCCCTTGTTAATGGCACACTGGGCTTCTGGTTTTTGGGTCTTTTTCCTACGTATTTCAGGTCTCCTGTACAGAAGGACCCAGAATTCAATGTAGTGTCTTACACCTGCATCACCAGTGTCTCTTAAACAGCTCAGGAGTGCTGTACCTTCACAAGCAGTACTGGGGTGCTGATATGGTTTGAAGCTGGCTCCCTGCCAAGCCTCCAAACCTTACCACAAGAAGTCCCCCCCCCCCAAACCTCCGGGAGAAGAGGGAGAAAAACAACTAAGAAAACCCAAAATGAGAGACAGCTAAAGTGATATATATAAATATATTTACACTTATGTTACAATTGAAATATATACACTTTCACAAGGGAAAGGGAAGGGAGAAGGGAAAAGGAACAAAACCAAAATGAAATATATATATATCCCTATTAGTAGCCCAATATCTAGCACTAAAAGAGTTAGCAAAGAAATATCTCACTACTCTCCTTGGGACAACCGAGAGTCACTCCGGGACGATCGCCGGCAACCTCCATCTCCCGAGGTCGGCAAGGCCTTACCAGGCCTCGCTCCCCAACACGGCAGACTCAACAGCAGGGAACCTGCACCTCCAAGCCGCCGGAAGGAAAGAGAGCAAAGGCCTTTCCTCCTTTCTTCTTATAGTCAGGCTTACGTAAAAATCGTAGGGAATACTGGGTAAATCTGGGCACTTCCTTGGTTACAGACTGGTCACCAAGGAAGGCCCAGACCAAACTACCACAGGTGCTCAGGGCTTGTCCAGCTACTGCTTCCTGAGTTGTGTGGGGTAGGAAGCTCCTACTTCTTTTTCTCTTTGTGTTAATGACTGCTTAATTGCAAGCTTATTTTAAATTTGTTCTCTACCACTGTCTTAGATCATATTTATTATTATTTTTTAAGCTACAAATACTGTCCTCATTTAAAGTATCACCTGGGAATGTAATTAATGTGATTTTTGCACTCTTTCTGTGTCCTTCAAGTGATGTTTTAAAGCTATTTCTGCAGGGAGAGTCAGTGAGTGCATTCTTGAAGTTTAATTTCTTACTGGTTTACAGTTACTTTTCACTTAGTGTTCTTAGGGAATTTTTCAGTTCTTAGACTGAGGTTGGTTTGGAATAACCTTTCAGTGAGGGTGGGTAATTATATACTCTTTGCTTCTTTTCCAGCTAGTTTTGCCACTCCCTTCACCAGGTCCTCCCTATTATGTTCAGACTAGCTGCCCCTCTGGTCTCCAAAACCAACCACAGCTGAGTCTTTACATCTCTGATCTGTGCAGATCTTCACACTGTGGTCCACTGTAAGGCCAAAGAAATAGAGGATGAAGAGGAATAGCTGTTCTAAGATTTGACAGTGATAATTTCATTCATATTCCTGAGACTAATGACCTTGTGAAGGTTGCCTGTGTTTTTATTTGGGTGACTGATACTAAATGAGCCAGTAAAGCCCCTTTCTTTCAGGGAGCCTTTGTAAGCTCTATTAATCCTGCTTTTAGAAACAGAAATTTCTAAAGCTTCCAGGCCATATCTTAGTTTACAACCTCATTTGTTATCAGTCACATCAGGTCTACTTAATATTCTTTTACTATGTGGCACATATGTGCACACTGCTATTGCTGGAAAGATGAGATGGTGTTATACGCCAACAGTGCTTCATTTTAATAGATCTCTAACTACTGTGCAGTGACCAGTGCACGAGGAAGTTTAGACTTAAAATCATGTATCCGTGAAGTTTAATTAAAATCTTTTCCTCCATATGCAGATTTACCAGGAATTTTGTTTGGTGGACATGGTTGTATTATATTTCCATTAAGAAGGAGTTGCTGAGTCAAACATTTCTGAGATTTTTGTAATTAGATTAAGCTTATGCCATAATTAATCTGCCAGTTTTTTTGCAGATATTACACTAATGTTTCTGAGATATGTTTCGTTAATCTGTTGCTGAATCACATTCTTACACACTTCCAGGTGTGCTGCTGCACTGATGCTTTTAATTGCATTTTATTTCCTGTGCTCCATGTGATAAACTGAGAGAATGATTCGGGCTAATTAAGAGAAAACAGTGTAAGGTCAATATCTCATAACAACGGATTCTATCAACAAAATTATCATTCCCACTAATTAATCAATATATCAATTGTTAGCCATTGTGACATTCTTCACATGGGGTCTATAAAGTTAAAGTCATCCAGCGGGCAGTCAATTTGGGCTATTTCTCCAGAAAATTTCATCACACTGTATCTTAATGCTGCATACCATTCAGTTTCAAATATTTCCCAATTTACTGGTAATGACAATTCCCATCCACAGAACAGCTTAGTTATCTGTACTGACTCTAATTAGGGTTGATCTCTTTGTGTGTCACGACACTCAGGGCAATGTATATGTCGGTTAAAGGCCACACAGGACCATTTACGGTGACAGTGCCTACACTGACACTCTACCCAGCCATCATGCTGAGCCCACGGATGTCTTATACAGCGTATGCGATCTGGTGGTGGCGGTCCAGGAGTTATGGGATCTTCTTTTTCAAGGTCACAAGCTAACACAAGGATTGGGTTAACTAAACGATTAGTAAAATATGCACCTGACCCTCCACTCTGCCAGGGGATGGCTCCTTCTTTCCAGGAAACAAACCGCTGTCTCCTAAGAATTTGTCCTGGGACCAATTGAAACCAGGATCTCAGGCTAGGTTTTATACAGAAACTTTCAGGAAATACCTGTCGGGCTTTTAAGTCTCTTTGTTCTGGGGATAATTCATTCCAGCCTTCGATATGTCTTCTCCATTCAGGTGATGAATTCATAAAGGTCTTTTTTGGAGTTTAAGTCGTAGGTCCGCAGGCGTTGATGACACAGTCCACTCTTTCAGGGGTGGTGGAGCAACAGGTCCTTTCACCCTGGTCGCGTGTGTCCACCCTCGTTCTGCTGTATGCACTGCAGTCTCTGTTGTGAGCAGTACCTGGAAGGGACCTTCCCAAAATGG